CCCCTGGTTTTGTCACGTGAATGTTACGTCTTCAGCGGGAGCCCAGCTCTTCCACCTGTGTCTTACCGGAACGTCAATCTGATCTCCTTTTTTTAACACAATCGCTAGTCTGTCAAAACCAAGGCTTCAAACCATGAACACAAGGTGACGGCTGTGAACCTGGGTGATTGTGTTTGTTGGTTTTAAAGGACTCAGGGACAAAAAGGAAAGAATTAAAGTCACATGTTTGGGTTGTCGCACGTCAAATAGGAAATATAGAGAATATACAGAGAAAAGGAATACGTTTGGAGAGGATTGTCTGTGCACCTGTTTCATTTCATACTCGTTTTATAGCAGACAACTCACATGTATGGTTTGGAAAAGACATTGGTTCGTAACAATCCTGCCTGTCATTCTGGCTCCTAACTGGCACTGGAAGGACGCAGATTGTGCGAATGTGGTCGGCCCTGAATTTGACGCAGTTTCATTTTAAGTGAATTCTTGTTCTGATGTACACAACGTTAGTCTGGTAATGACAAGTTACTCATGTACTGAATAAAAACCTTTAGTTTAGTTGAAGGTCGTCATTATAAAGGTCTTTTTGATTGTTGTGCTAGCTCGGTCTAGTTTCTTGTTTTAAAACTGTTGAGTAGATCAGTCTTCCATCTATCCATCCTATGAAATGTAGCAACTTCTTACTCAATTTGTATTGCTATTTAGTTTTTTCTGAATAGTTTAGCTTCTTCACTAGCTTTTTTTTTATTTTCTTGATTCTAATGTCAATACTGATTATTCCTTTAGAGGCAAATGTGATATAAATTGTATCTCGGCTTTGTGTAAATTCTGGTTCCAGTATGGATGAAGGTCTATTATGGACATGTTCTTAAAAAATCCATGTACTGTAATGTTTGTAAATTGCGAGCTGAGTGTGTGTGTGTGTTTCTTCTTCTAGCTGGCCCTGCAGTCACGGCTGTGCGACAGGACTCGCATCGGAGAGTATCACCCCGGGGCAGTACGCTACTCACAAGCCAACCTGGTGGACCTCAGCGATGACGACGAGGATGACACCAACGTGCTCTTCTACTCACCTGACATGACCCTGAAAGGCCGGGGGCCCTGAGAGAGAGAGAGAGGGAGAGGGAGAAGGAGCAAGACAAACGAGGTCCAGGGAGAGAACACGGAGGAGGGTCAGAGCCAGGGAGGAACAGCGGCAGATTAGAAACCGAGAGGAAGAAGAAGAAAAAAACAGGTAGGGAGGGAATGGAAGGGAAGATTGGGGGGACAGTCAGGCAGATAGAAGCCGGAGATGAGCTGTCAGGTTTCATTATTAATCCCCATCCTTTACTATTTAATATCCTAAAGACACACACACACACGCGGGGAGACACAGACTGTGCAGAGCAGCAGCAGATTTCTGCATCACTTTCATCCAAGAGAAGCCAAAAAAGGAGAGGCTCTGAGGATCCTCCTAATGTTGGAGGAATTACCTGCATCTCGTAGATCCTGAAATAATCTTTTTTGGCTCTTTTCATCACCTTCTTGATTTCCTGCACTCTGCACTATCACGACAAACCGACCGAAAAAAAAAGAAAGGGGGAAAAGACTACTGAAGGATGATGGTAACAAGATGTTTGTTTCGGCATTCTCAGCAATCACCTTTTTCAACTTCTCTGCAGGAAATAATGTAAAAAAAAAAGCAGTCTGTTTTTCAGACATGAAAAGCTTCTACGGATCCCAGCACAAAACACCTTCTGTGTGTGAGGTATTCAGTGAATACATTCACACACATTCATATGAAAGAAGGATTCATTTTAAAGGATAAGAATTACCTTATAGGACAAGTACGTCCTAAAATGCCACTGTTACTTTTCAGACGTTTCTCATTTCTCTAGCTACATCCATATTACTCAATTTTTTTGTTTAACAAACAACATGCAGTATATCCCGCACCTTTAATGCAATTAATGCACCTGCTGTCTACTCACTCAGGTCTTTGGAAGCCTCAGAATCAGTCTTGAGTGAAACTGGAAACGTTTCTACCAGCAGTCATTTTCTGAGCACTTCTTATCCACCACTAGACTAATATATCTGTAGACAGTCCACCTTAAACGCATGAGAATCCTCAATCAAGTTATATGTAGTGATTGGTGACAAAAAGCCAGCTAATATTGAGCCATTTCTGCTTGACATGTTGGCTGTTAGCAAGTTAGCATATAGGAAGCAAAGATTGTAACAGCTTGACTGTTCTATAAAGTAAATTAAGCTAGTGTATTAAGCATAAAGTCAACATGCTACTTAGCACACTTAGCTGCTAGCTGCCTCTGGCCCACAACTACTTCATTTGGGGTTTTCCATATGCTGTGAGATTAAAATTGTTTTGTAAGTTACTCTCTGCCATCTTTCAAGGTTATAGTGTTAGTATTTTGGAGTGATTTCTTAAGGGTGCGTGTCAGAAACAGCGCTGCTATGCTACAGTTTGTTCTTCTGAAACTCCTCGGTGACTAAAAAGAAAACTTAATAATGTCTTTATATGTATTTTAAAAGTTTAGGTTTAGCAAGACAATAAATGACTTTGTCCTCGGTCTAGCAATGGCCGTCAGAATAAAACCCGTTAAATTGTGTTTACTTTAGTGCAAATGTTCAATGCAATGTACTGGCCACCAGTGCAGTTATATAGCAGTTAGGACACATGTTACTTCTGACACAAGAATACTATTCTCTATTGTTTCTTACTGAAAACGCAGGTTTTTGCAAGAATGTAGTAATTAGGATGTAGCCATGGATGGTTTGTTTGGTTCATTGTATTTAACCTGTAATTTACTGATTGTCATTTTCTACTACGATGTTTTTCCTGAAATACCAGACTTTTTACGGGTTGAATTTGATATTTAAACAAGGTTGTTGTACTGTTTAACGTATATATATACTGTATATTTAAGTGCACTCTTTATTTTTTTGTTACGTGCCTTCAGCTGAAATGTATGACAAGGTTTCTCCTTGGATTAGTTACAGCGGGGCAGAGCCTGATGACATGTGTAGCCTTAAGAACAACTTAACAGTCTTTTGTTAGTCAAACAAAACAGACCGACATCAGACAAACACAGAGACACTCCTTGTCAAAACAGCTTCAAATGATGACTTGACGCTTCCCCATCTCCTGACCTGTGTCTCTGAGCTGCTGTGTCAAGGTGTGACCTCGCCTAAAATAAATGAAACATTTCTGGTTCCACGGTAAGGTTTCATGTTGAAGTCTCACAAAAAAGTCTGGAATTCCTCAACAGCGCTGAAGGAGTGGGGTATGAATGTTATCAGTCAATATTCATATGTTATAGTTTTATAGTGTAGTAGTTAATACACCTGCTATAAACACAAAAGGTCTGGGGTTCTACCCCAGAGGAAGCATATACTTAATGGCGCCTCCGGTGGCAGCCTGTGTGGGTTGCAAAGCCTCACACTGTAAATGTCCCCATTGAGGGACAAATAAGGGACTTTGTCTGCCATTTTCCTCCTCAAACAGTGGTTGTCACTGATGGCTACAATGTAAAGGCTGGGCCATGCTTTACATGTTCTGTGTCTGAGATCCTGTCTAGTTGAAATACACATTAATTCAAATATCTAACATCTCATTAATGTATTTTACTCCAAGGGTATTTGGTACACACAGCCAGGTTCCCACCTCTCCATTTCCAGAGTCAGTAGAACAGTATGGATAATCTTAATTTCTTTTATGGAAGGTGGAGCTACAAACTTGCTGTCTTTCCTATTTGCAATCTCCTGGAGCTTGGTGAAACCTGTGGTTTCCAGATTCAGAAAGCATGACCTAGGTCTGAAAGATTCCCTCAACTTTCACCCAGGATCTATTTGGTGTTTTTCTCATGTGTGGGTGTTTTTACGGTGTGGACGGCACACGCTGCCTGCTGTCAGCTGCCTCACCAACAAGTCCAACTAATGAACCAACACTTGACCCTTTTTTTTTTACGCTTCTGTTGTTGAACTTTTCTGCAGGGGCCGTCAATGACACCACGGTGCAACTTTTCCTTTGCACTTCCCAGAAGCCACCACTGAATCACCGGCGCGTCTTACCGCTGCCTTGGTACTGTTGCTCGTTCTACTTGACTGCGCACTCCATCAAATAAATGAGCAGGAGAGACATTTCATAACAAAGCTCAGCCTGGGCGTGTTTATTTCATTTTCACATTGATGCAATCCCTCAATCCTCCATGCCACTTTCCCCCCACCAACATTTTCTCTCCTTCAAAGGTGTGTGTCTCTTTCTGTGTGCGTAGAGACATCCTTTAAACCCGGGCTGCCCAAGTAATAGATATTAATTATTGTTCG